AGATAGATATCAGTATTCGTAACTTTTGTGAACAGTTGGGTATAGACATAACTTACTCGTGTATACGGTAGAAACACGTACAATATCGGGTGTAGATACCAGAAGTTTAGACACCAGTAGCGTGTGTATATAGTCGCGTCATGTGAATAGCCCAATATGTAGACACCGGTTATATATACATAAGTTTATGGTCGCGTCACGTGTACGTTAGGATGTAGACATCAGACACTAGTGTATACGGTACTATCATGTGCACAGCAAGGTGAACACTGTTCATATGCCCTGCCGTAGACACTATTTACTTGTGTATAATATGATCGGGTCACGTTCCCGGCCGTATCTCATTTTATGTATTTATTTTAGTTTATCATTTCTTTAAAGTCTTCTGAACGTAGACCTAGGTTATACTTCTGTATTTGGTCAGGTCACGTTTACTGCCGGATGTTGACATCAGCTAATTGTGTATAAAGACGGGCACGTGCTCGGCGAAATGTAGACATCAGTAATTTGTGTATAAAATCGGGTCACGTGTACGGGTGACTGTAGACACCAGTTACTTGTGCAGACGTAGACACCAGTTATTTTGTTTTACGGTCGTGTTGCGTATATGGTTAATGCTTCACTAATACTTTTTGAATAATGTCGAGTCGCTTGCTCTGTCGAATGTAAACGGTCACTCCGGAGTGTGTTTGCGGTCGGTTGAGACACCAGTAATTTTGTATACGGTCGGGACAAGTATAAGGCGTACTGTATATACATCTAACTTATTTATACGATCAAGTATCGTACATGGGCGTGTGTAGACACCAGTGACATGTAAACAAGGTCGTGACAAATGTTAGGCAAAATGTACCAGGTATTAACTTGTTTATGCGCTCGGGTCTCGTGAACAATATTGCGTTAAAATCAGTAATATGTGTATGCGGTTTAAGTGGTCACATGTTTGGCCGGGTTGACTAGTAATTCTTTTAAACAAGCATTACGGTCGCGTCACATGCACGACCGGGTGAGACACCAGTAGATTCTAAATACGATCGACTCACGTGCACGGCCGAGTGAGACACCAGTAGATTTTGTATACGATAGAGTCACGTGCACGGCCCGGTGTAGATATCTGCAGATGTACTTAAAATTATTTATATAGTCGAGTCACGAGTACGACCTGGTGAAGATATTTATTTATTTTTTATATATCGAATCAGGTATTTAACCGGTCAGATATTTTCAACGTATGTGGCCTTATGATGACACCATGCAGCAACCTGTTAATATCTCGGCAGGGAAATGCATAGGATCCCGTGATATAAAGTAGCCGCCTTAATAATGCCGTGGTTGTTTGGAGGAGGTTATACACCTATGGAAAATGAAAGTAGGCCCGTCTTATACCACACAAAGAATCGGAAGCCTCGGGTCATGTTACAGTCTACATAATAGGAATTAGTTGTGTATCAAACCAATTAGACTACTCAATCATACCTGCTATGAGACTACCTAACCATTGATAGTACATTACGACAAGAAATACACATAAAGAAAGCTTTGAAATAACCGCAATCAAAAGGAACATATCTGACGTAATTTGCATTACCAAACAAAGCTTGGAGGTTTTGTTCTGATAAACATGTTCTGATAAAAATAATGTTTTTGGGATTCTATAGACTAGTTCAAATCAGACATCTTTATTACCTTGGGATATCAGTGTGGGTATCTTAGTAATATACGAATTAGTATTATCATTTCGTTTTGTCTTAAATGAACGGGCATAATAGGTATCAGTAATTAGCTTTGAGTATGATGTCACGTATCAAATTTGTCATTTTCTTTATTATAAGTAGTCCAAAGTCAACACGCATAGCAGATTTATAACCAAAGGATATTTCTACACACACAAAAGGACTCCAATACATGTATTATGTATTAAAGTAAAATGAGGCCGAAGGCTATCCAAAAAGATTAGTCAGGTTGACTATAATAACGCGAAAAGTGTACAGAAGAGTTATATTGATATATGTAAAATACCAATCTTAATAGCATTTTCATAAATGCATTCAAATACGTCATTACGTAGATATACAAAAATAAACATGCAGCAAAATTATGTAAATATAAAGTAAAATTAATAAGTGAGTAGAATATCAAACACAGCTTTTGGTAACAGTGCGTTCTATGTGTGTGTATTGGTAGAACCTACCCGTATGTCGGTCAGGCCAGACCACTGAATGTGTCCGTTCATCCATGTCTGTGATCAATAGGGGACCATTATCGTGGTTTCGAAATGTCGTCTATCCCCATCAAGTTTAATGTTCGGGACTACAGTTGTTTGAAAGAGTGACAGTGCAACGACGAACACAGTAAGTAATGGTTGTAATATATTAACTTAATTACAAGTAAGATAATGTATTCTTTAATCTTGAAATACCGATGCTTAACTTACATACCATATCTTATTACCTTGTGTAACGACATTGCTAGACGGCGTTGTGTCATTCTTACCGGTATATCAGGGTGTTTTGATTGCTAAATATGTCAGCTTTATATCAACAAAACAATGTCAGAATGCATTTAAAATGTTAAGAATGTACAATTCTGTTTAATATACGACTGTTTAATTTACAATCGTGAAAATATTGTTTGTATTTTAATATGAGTATAGACTTGCTTCACATTACGGATACAAGCTATTTATTATTTACCTGTGATAATGGGTATACAATGTGTTACTTACGTTTAAAACATGCAAACACATCATACATGTATGTCTATGATGTCATTTCGTTGTTTACCTGTAAACATTTAAGAGTTTCATACAAATCACATGTAGATTACACACGACACTAAATTGGTAATATCTTTATCACTTAGAACCAACCTGAGATATGATGCTTTTTCCTTCATTGTGATATGAGTAAATGCTATATAATTAGGTTATCTGTGATTTTCCTTGTTTCATGTGATATTATAATGTGTATTGCTGTCTATACGTATATGCAATACTAATATCACTCAAGAGCTAATGTTTCTTGTTTATGTGTATGTGATTCTAAATATTTAATATATAAATAGATTAAGCAACGTTGTATGCATACTTCAAAACAAAACTAAATAATCATATTCAACACAGAAAAATTGCATTTATTCCGTTTTTGTTGTGTTTGTATAATATGTAGGTATGGGCAGCTTAACAAATCACCTCTACAAAATGTAGCAAATACGCTAATTGTATACCAATGAACAAGACTAATTCACTATTTGTTGTGTTTGTATTGGATGTATAGCTTAACACACACGACTATCAATCCAGCACGTGTTGGTAACATCTTTCATTAAATATAAAGCAACTATAGATATTCTATATCGATGAACTGCATTAATTCAATATCTGTTTGTGAGATTTACCTTAACAGCAGAAGGGATTTCAAACTCCAGTGATCAATATGTATACCTTTACAAGCGTTCAGATCATGGATAATACAGTGCATGTATAATATATACTATGGTTGCAATACAACGAATAAAACATCTTTTTTACTTATCAAACAGCATATGATATTTGTTTATTTGCAGTGAGAAATGGCTGGAGTGGACTTACCCATTTTGACGGAACGTCTTCTTGTATCTGTAGTTGTATTGATATCCAGAGGTAAGTTATGTACTGTATATCGGGAAATTGTCGCCTTTCAACGATAAAATTATTTTTTGTCCAGTATTATATTCGACCTTCACATTTTATTGCATTGTACTACGTTTATAATGTTGTTTATAAATGTTCGCTGTGATAATAATTCGCCCTCATTACGCAGTAATACAGAATACTAGTTTCCTAATTTAGTGTATAAGGTCATTTTTAGTTTTGACTTCCTCAAAGGGTGATTATAGTTAAAAGAAAGATATAATCTGTTATTTAATTAAGACATCATTTTGAAAGCATACATGGTCTGATCTAGGTGGATTTTGTGCTCATTGTTAAACAAGACTACTCAATCAACTGCAGCCCGGAATATTACTGACACCTTTGAGTCAGTATCAAGCAGAGGTTGAGGTTGAAGTGTTAGTGCATCGAATATGAAGTTTGATGAAGTGTTTAGTGTATGGAATATAAAGTTTGATAAAGTGTTAAGTGTATGGAATATGAAGTTTGATAAAGTGCTTAGTATATGGAATATGAAGTTTGATAAGGTGTTAAGTGTATGGAATATGAAGTTTGATAAAGTGTTTAGTGTATGAAATATGAACTTTGATGAAGTGCTTAGTGTATGGAATATGAAGTTTGATGAAGTGTTAAGTGTATGGAATATGAAGTTTGATGAAGTGTTAAGTGTATGAAATATGAACTTTGATAAAGTGCTAAGTGTATGGAAGAAGAAATTTGAGTTCTGCTTGAGATATAATTGTCGAATAATCATTAGAAAAATCAGAAATGTGTCACCTATTATGTTTTAGATGCAGAAAACAAAAGTAAGGAAATGTTAAACTGATTAAATGGTCACTTCTTTCATTAGTGAGTCAGCATTAAGGTCAAAAGCATGACAAAATCCGTGTACAATGTCTTCCGAAACATATACAAATGTACTTGTACATAGAATTGAGCGAAAAAGGTGCCTTTAAAACGCTTTAAAACGAGAGTTCATACACAATGTACTTATACAAGCACACATATTCTATTATGGCCCTTTCACGAGGGAACTGTTCTCTTATAGTGTTGTCTGGGGGGATAGTGCCCGAGGCATTACATGTAGGCGAGGGCACTATACCTCTCCAGACAACACTATAAGAGAACTGTTCCCGAGGGAAAGGGTCATAATAGATTAAGTACGTCAGATGACTGTTATTTGACAATAAAAAGACAAACATGAGGAACTTCATTGAAAACATATTTAATAATTTTAAAACAACTGCTGGAAATTTGCACGTAATATTTGAAGTTTTGATTCATGAGTTGTTGTTAATTGTAACGGTACAATTACTAAACTTGAAAGAAGGTGTACAAAAAATGGAATGTCGAAATATCTGTCACATGATGGTGGTTCTTGTAAATGCCCCCGCAAACCTTGCCTGATGTCATTAAGATAACTTTTTGAGTAGATCTCTCCTTTTTTGTTGCGTATATTGGCATACAAATCCGCCAAAACACCGTTCAATTCACTGGATTGAATCACCTCTAGGTCACATACGGCTCCCCTTTCCAGTAGGAAGTCTTTAAGGACTGCGACGGCAAATTGTGTCGCCTGCTTTGTCTTTATGTATTGCTGAGCCTCTGCGAAGCAATCGGCATTCCCAGTCCGGAATCTCGAAGCCATTTTGGCAGACGACAATAATCAAGTGAAAATATATATGTACAGCGCTCCCTAGGAGAAGGGGCGCAACTCCTAGCGTCACGCTACTTTTCCCGCAATCTCAGCGGTCCAAAAAAAAAAGGTATAGTGCCCGTCTCCAGGTATAGTTCCCGTCGTCAAGGGCAGATGCTAACTATACCAAATAGAACAAGGGTAGTTATCCAATAGCTACATTTTGTATCTTAGAAATTATCATATGATGTACTAAAACGTTATAGGCAACCCAAGATAGTTATAGTCCACCAGGAATACGAAACAAGGAACTAAAAAATGTGTATGTAAAATAAAGCGAAAAGGAAAAGGTGCCCTTCAACCCTTTATACTGTTTACGAATTGCAACTTCAGGTTACAATAGATAGGTTATGCTTAATCTGAAGTAATTTAGAAGATAATGGAACCTGGTGATGTTTTATCTAAAGTGGACTAATGTTACACGTTCAGGTTGCACTAACGACATGCTTTGATAGTTTAAATGACACTAAAAATACTTCAATCTCGAAGTCTATTTGACTATTCATGTCTTGAACTAATGTGTATCTCATTAACTTGAGTTGGCAATATAGGACGCAGCCGTTGACAAAGACAACGCTTGTTCGTGTATTTCGTGTCGTACATGTATGGGGTGTGTTTAATAGACCGTTGGCATATCACACATCCCACCGACAGTCATTTAAACAAACAACACTTGACGTCCCCATACAACACAGCATCACGTAAATCTAACGCCGCCATATAACCCAGTATCACGATACAAATGGAATTGAAATAACGATAAAGTACATAAGTTTTGATTTTACTTCCTTTAGAGGGATATCTTATGAATGGAAAATCTTATTTTCTTATAAGCAGTAATGTGATTATGAGGGGATACATGTAACGTAGGTTCAGTGTGATTAATATTGATCAAATATATGATATCCTCCAAGTGAGAAAAAAGAGATTAAGCAGTCAATCCGCACATGATTATTAAGGCTAACTTTCAATTCAAGATCCCAAGTTTAGGAGTGCGAAGCATGTATATGTATGCTTCTATTAACAATTAATGAATAAAACTACCACACAATTATCTTGTGTTACAAAATGAATACATTATTATTTAAATCCTCTTAAATGATGATGGATATCTAATACTTGTAAACTAATTTGACCTATTTTTTCATCGTTTTCAGTCATGTGCAATGCATGTAATACACAACATCTGGTGGCAACACAATTGGAGACAAGGTTGTACTCACCTTCTTACGGGTCCTACCAGAAGTAAGTATAGACATAAAACAGAGGTACATATACCAATTATAACGCATTCTATTTTATAACAAAAGAAAAAAGCAGATAACGCATTCACCAACTCGTCCGGGGTTCGATTCCCCGATCTGGCATGAAAACGTATAGGGTCACCTGCCCGACAATGCTGGTTTTCTCCAGGTACTCCGGTTTTTCTCTTTCGTTAAGAATTCATACATCTTATTACCGGGCCAATAATAATTCATATAAGTTGATATAACTTGTATATGGCTAAAAATAAATAATTAAATCGTATACAAGTTTTAATTTGGAGACTATTTTGTGCTCATATAAATGAATGCATGGAGTTATTTCTATGCTAAATGTATATCCGAATAGCATCCTTTAGCAAATTATGAGTGTGTATAAGATGAAAGTCTATCTTGAATATCATATATTGCATATAAAAACATCTTACTTACTTCACTTTTCAATTGAGTATAATGCGATAAAAAAAGGTTTGTGTTTATCTATATGGGTAAATAATGCGAAAGCTAACTATTAATATATACCCTTTTGCATACTAAACAATATCTCTGAATTTTGTGAAGTTTTATTAAAAGAAGATGTAAGACGTAAATTAGCTACAAAGCTAATTTGCCACCTATTTGATATGTATGAGATACATAGTTATAAAGTTGGGGATACGTACAGGATTTCATTATATAAATTGTTTTATTTTAATTGTAAAAATGTGTTCAATGTTATTTGTTTTTTCCGCGCCTTTTAAAAATATTTTAAAAACGGTTTTGCCATGTTTAAAATTTCAGTAATATGGATTGTGCATGGAAGATAAGCTCAGCTTTACACGACAGTAATGTACAAGTTGAAATCGAACAGATGTCCTTACAAACCAACAACGGATACTGTGTTGATTACCTACAAATATATGATGGTAGGTTTTAATCATTGTTTACTTTTGTACTGTGTTTCCCCTTGATTAGAAAGGTGTGTGGGTTGGGTATGGGGTATCTGGCCTAGTGTATCCAATATCACGTGTTAAGCGAGAACACTGCACATTTTCGATTATATCACACATAGAAAAATCTAGAATGTTGGGTCTTGTGTGTCATTACCTTAAAAACATTATATTTTTCTTTCTCAAACTGTTTCTTTCTTATCTTTGTAGTCACTAAGCTTGGATGCTTACCCTCCGTTTCCCTATGTCTCCCTTCCGTCCCTGTACTCCGGTTGTTCCAAATTAATGTCCTATATTTTTCAAGGATTCTGCTGTTCAGTATTTTTTGTTCGCATGCGCTTGCTTTCTTTTGCAATGTCTACAATGTCATTAATACAATCCAATACTCAGTTCTTTGCTTGAACCTGATCTTGACAAGTCGTCTTTTGTAAATTTTTGTTTTTATAGAGCGTGTTATAATATCTTTTCTGGTGTCCCTTATGACATCCATCATCAGTTATTTGTCTTGCAATGAAGTAAAGGACCAAAACAGAAAACTGTAAAATGTAATTAAAATTGTTGCTGTACTTTACAATAACGTATCCTCGTAATATGCAGACACTTTGAAAACAGGGTTTTGAACTGATTCGCATTAAAATTATTTTTTGTGAATGGACTAATGATTTAAGTAAAAAGCAGATGGATTTGGAATACATATAAGTTTCTGTTTACAGCATGATTAACTTATTAACCCGTATGTGAAAATGATAAAGATGCATTTAAAGAACCTAGAATTTTGTTTTTCTGATTGGGAGAGTAGGTTGGGGTATTACCTTTTCTTGATTTATAATGGCGAGTGTGGTATTACAATGATTGATATAAAATATAGTATATATCTAAATTAGATGTAAATCCGATCAATACGATAAATACATGTATTGTTCATTGGATATCATTAACTTATAATGAACTAGTAAAAACGTATGATATATTCACTATACATTCATACATTCACTTACGTTTTACTTGTTTTACTTCAATCATGTCTACTTTTACTTATACAATGTAGGTGAAAGTGTTGACAGTAAGTTACTTGGAAGCGTCTGCAGATCGACGGAAACGTTTGTAAGCAGTTCCAATAACATTTATCTACGATTTTATACAGACTCTTCTCAGACAGACATTGGATTTACACTGAAATACTTCCAACCCGATGAAAACGGTATGTGTGATGATAGGCAAAAACGTGATTAGAATAGGCTCAATAAACTCAATTAGGAACGTTCCATTTATGGACTGGATAGTCTAGTTATAGCCAAATTATCGTAGGTTTGCATACTGAAGACGACATAGGAGAGTATTTGTGTCAATGAGCATATCAGTCACCCTTTAAAGTATCGTATAGCATGTAATCTAGTATACAGATAACACTTTCATTCGAAGTTTAGGTAGAATTTAATTAACATTTAAACGCTTGTAAATGTGTTATTCGTGGACTTTCATGTATAGAGCTATATCCAAACTTAAATCAAAGTCCTCCAATAATTTATTTCATGTTCGATCAGAGAGTGATACAATTAGATAATTTAGTTTTGATCTTAGTCCAAATTGCAACATCGGAAGTGCTTAAGATGCATAGCATAACTCATAGGTCCAAGATCAAAACATATACAATAGTTAATACAAAAGATTTATCACTTGTATTGTTCAACTCATTGATGAATACATTTAACACACATGTTCATTTAATAAATTTCATACGACGTGATGAAATGTTTCAGATATATGCATCACTACACATATACATTTTTCATATCATGATAAACAATGATCTGATGTTTGGTTTCTTTTTTTGCAGACGACAGCTGGAAAAAAGTGCTGACAATCGTGATTACAGTAACTGTCGTGGCGATGATTCTGAGTTGTTGGTACAAACGGTTCCATAAACGTTTCCGAAATCATCATCATGCTGTGGTAGATCCGGACAATGAGACAGCAGGACGCTCAGGTGTTAATAGGAACCGGTCGTGCGTATGGTCAACCAGTAGCGAACAGACTCAGACGGACAATGAATTCACCAATTCAGAAAATACTCAACAACCCGGACCAGTTAAACCTCCAGCTTATTCAGAAATAGATGTAAACCCCGGTAAATTACCAACGTATGATGAAACAACCATCGATGAACATAATTGTGAATGTTCTCCTCCGCCATCATATACAGATAGAATTCAGACAGGCAGACTGATCAGACAATCTAGTGCGTACTCCTACACGTATTCAGTGACGTCGAACTCGACGTCATCGTTATCCTCTGTTTCAACAACGTCAATCGAATCGTCGTCGTCGTTTATAAACCAATCTGAACAATCATCTTTATCTCATTTACCCACGTATGAATCAGCAATGGCTAACCATGACACGAGAGTTCCTATAAATTAATGAATTTTCGCGAATGTTTATTCCCGCAAGTGTGTTCCAGTCGGCCTGTTCGCAAAATCTTGCATTCGCAAAATGAGCAAGGACAGACACATGCTTTGTGCAAGAACTTTATTTTTATTTTTTAAAGATAAGAGACAAGAACTTAATCAACTATTAACTAATTGGTGTTTAAGTTTTGTTTGGTTCCCTTCGTTCGTCGGAGGTCCATTATCGAAGTGGGTCCAGTTTCTGTGCTTTGATATTTTGTGAATTGCTGTGCGAATACATCATGTTTAATGAGGTGATCAGAAAAGTATTCAAGTAATGCGGTGAAATCAACGAAGTCATCCTATCTTACTTTCACACCTGTTGAAGAAAAATGGCTTTTTCGTTATTACTTTTTTCTAGGGTAGCATAGATATAGAAGACAAAACGTAAATTATGTTTGAGGAAGCTCGTCGTAATTGTAAAGACAATTATTGCTTATCAAAATAAAGACCAAACATCGCTGGCAAACAACACGAAACACCTTGTTTCGTAAGTTTACTCTAAACCTGACATTGTTTCGTAAGTTTACTTTAATCCGTTTATTTGGCAATATCCGTCTTAGAGGCTCCATAACTGGTCACCAATTACTTTTCAAAATTAAACCGTTGAAAGATTGTTTTTCTTTTTCAAATGTATATCTAACTTAGAATTCACGAGGTTAGTGATACAACTGTTTTTTTAATCAATTATTTGGTAAACTATGTGTGAAAATTGTTTGTATGTACATTTTTGAGGGTGGTTATTTGAACCTTACAAGACGTATATTTTGTTGTATTTTCAATAATTATGCGCTTATCATGGATTCTTATTTTAAGGTGATACATCCGAAACCTAGATGTATTAACATGCATCAGCTGCTTATACATCAAGAGAAAAACAGAAAGAGTGATGCTTTCTTGATAATTAAATCAAAACACTTTATAAACCTTTTGTTTTTCAAAGTTATCGCCAAAAGGGCCTAGTTGTTCAAAGTCAGTGATAACTTTGACGAGGAGATTAAAAGGTATGTTAAAGAATTTCAAAAATAATCATTTGAAAAAAATGTGAAATGGAACAAATTTCTAAAACGTTGTATTTAGATATGTTACCACTCCTTAAGCCCAAACAGACTTTGACTAACTTGAGCCAGACACAATATCATCAAAATCGTTTTCATTTGGTAATAGAAGAAGCTATAATTGAAATTTGACTCACGAGGTCACAATGTCTTTCCTCTTGATTTCATATCGCCATTAATGCTACTGGTGTTGTTTTTGTTTTGACTTTCATGTCTGTTGTTGTTGATTTGTTCAATTGGAGCTGAGGATTGCCCTGCTGTTTACCTATACATAAAGAAAACATGCAAATGTCAAAGTAATTTAATCTTTTCTTTTTAAATTTCAATAGCTTAGCTGTAGTTACATTCTGCGTTGAGAACCGTCTCAAAGAATTGTTAATAAACTGTATAAGACTCCATTGTTTCTCTATTGGATTAAGGCATTATAATTGTAGTTGAATGGGAGAATTATTGAGTGTCAATAGAGTAAACACATGAGATGTTTGTTGATGTGGGATACTTTGAATTTCAATATTACAATCATTTTATCATTAAAAGACAAAAACAAAATATATAGAGGCTATACAACTAGTGGTTGTTGAATATGGTATTTATTTCAACTTTTGTAAATTAACTATATTGATGTAACGAAAGTAAAACAAATATCATACTCAACAACCACGAGTCTTGTGATCTGTTTCTACCACAATCTCAGTCGAAAACAGCTGGAGTATTTGTGTTTGTTGACAAGGCTGGCGTAGTGATATGACCCATATGTGAAAAGTCACTCATTAATATTAATAAATGACTTCTTATTTCACAAATTTAATAATTTTCGAAATAATGTTTCGGCAACAACGTCATGACAAAATATGATAAATGAACGACTTTAAATATTGAGAGTATGCATTAATTAATATTAATTAATATAAATTAATTACATTAATTAATATCAATTAAACGCGGACTATATGCGCGTAACCATTCCGCCAAGTGATGAAGACAAACTAATCACTGTCAACGTTTAAAACCTTAGGTCTGGGACATTTCTTTGTGACGGTTCTATGGTTGACGTTTATATTGAGAGTTCCGCCATAGACAGGCCCTCAAAATATTGATAACGGGACGTGGGGAAAACGAAATATTTTCCGACACTGTGACAGATCTTGTTTGGGTTTCATGACCTGGACACGCAACGGTATGGCGTCGAAACGATATCGAGCGTCTGTAGCAATTTTGCCTGAAAGTAACGATCAATTTTTTAAGTATCGTCTTCTTTTGATATTGCCTTAATAAACCCATTTTCCCATCGCATAACCTCACTAAAGTCACCAATATGTGCCGGATGTTGACAGCAGACGACGTAAACAAAACAGCACGCGGCAAAAGCGCGTGAAAAAAGTCGTCCGGGCAAGGTTCATCTTCTCGACCAATCAAAACTACGGAAGGTTATTTACCACGTGTGGTGAATAACTCATGAAATGATCTGAGAGTGGAATAACACGGCGTATTATGGTAGAAATCTCAATAGAATTTTACAAGATGTCTTTCAGAGTAATTGATACATCTCTATTCATTTAAAAGATATTCTATAAACAATGAAGATATGACAGTAAACTTAATTATTTATTCATATATGTACTGCATATAAAGATATATTTTTGAGACATCTTTAATTCGTGTAACGACATTTCTATTGTTTTAAGAGCACATCAAATTCCTTTAGAGATATGTCTATTATATCTTAAGTTATAACTAAACATTTATAAATACCTCTAAAGCTTATATCAGGTATCGGTAATTCCTGTAAATATATTAAAGATGTTTCGTTTCCTTTTAGGGACATCTCTTTCACAATTAAAGATATCTCTATTATATTAAATGTAAAATTGGCTTTCCTTAAATTCAATTATGAACAAATATGTTGTCTAGAAAAAGTGTTCAAATAAAATTCGGTTCTGTATTATAGGCTATGAGTATTTAGTTACATATGAAGTTAACACAAATTGTGTAAAATGTTACAGTGAGTAAAACTCCGGTCACCACTTTTGTAACGAATTTACAATATTTATGAACATGAACTAAATTATGAGGAACAAAATAGTATCATATTTCTTATACAGTTTTCAGGATAAAACAATTATGCATTTAGAGATATGTAACTTTTAATATACAACATTTTTCTATAATTTGAGTCATACCAAAGATCTTTCCGGACTTTCTTCCTTACCCGAGTGAGGATATTGTGTAACAGAGTTATTTCCCTTTCAAACACGGAAGTTGACACGATAAAATGGTTTTCTGCAGCATGTCATCTTAGCATGGACATTCAAGATCGTAGGTATGCCTTATATAAAACAATAAATAACACAGTTGTAGCAATGGTGCAAGTTAATAGAATTCACAAGATTAGGCGGGTAATCGCTGTAGATTTTGAACAGACACCCAGCTGTCAGCTGGCCATTACATGATGAAGCACAGGTAACGTACTAGTCCGCTGACCATAATCGCTGGCTCAAAAATTCTGATCGGTCGCCTGTTTATAAACAGGCGACCGGTCAGAATTTTTAAGCCTGCGATTATGTTCAGTTTTAGCTGACTAGTAACGTACTAGAACGAATATGCATACCCTGACAACTCTGTATCTGTATAAATACGTGGACTCCTTCTGATAGAAGATAGCTGTCCACGGGACTACTCTCCGCTCTGACGACGACCATCTATCAGAAATCGTCCGTCCGCCATCCAGAGATACGTTATCGCAGCTAGTAACGTACTAGCCTGGTATCTCAATATACCCATAATATTATGAAAGTGTTAACAGACTAGGCTAGTACTTGTGCATGAACTTGGTGCCGGGCAGGCTGTTGTGAGTTTTTCATATCAACAAAAAGGGCAGGGCACATGAGACTTGTGCGGCGCCCAGCTATTCCTTTCTACCTCAGTGTAGCATTGATACTAATGATTGTACAGGGAGGAATGAGTGTCCAGGGAGGTTTTTGCGCGCCCAGGCATTCGTTATTAGACTTTTATTAACGTTTTTCTTTTGATTCATAAATATTGTTCACTTACCTAGGTGTGTACAAAAGTTAGGTTCGATCGTAACAGTAAAAGTACCGAAATATGTAGTTTTACGTGTAGAGAGGCACAAAGTGATGGAAACATATAACAGGGAAACAGAATTCTATATATCTAAATCAGAGATTTGTAACGATAGCTATATCTCTGATTCAGTTCCTACAGGATTAAGAGAAAATTAAGGGCGATGTGGATGAAGGAAAATTAAGGGCGATGACATATATCATGTGGATTAATAACGTTTTAATGACATTTTGATCATTTATCAAATCTGATATACTGTTGGAAAGAAAAGTTATTCTCGCACCTCAGACAGAAATATCCTAGTATTCCTACGTCAAACCCCATGCAAGATTTTTCTTTCTCTTACCCTGGACAGGTGTGTCTATCCACACTTTTACCAGTATGAGATTTCCTTGCCTCACCCTAGGGTTGAGACGGGGGGATTCCCCTATATAAACAATGGTATGAAGTCACTTCAACAATAAAATGACGTCACGTCAACAATCCCTCAACGTCACGTCAACCCTGAATTAAGCATGTAACGTTATCATTAGATTGTGTGTATGATACACATTGGGGAAAACAGGGTAAGAGAAAAAGAATCATTCACCCCCTTGTGGGTAAGATAGGGGAATCTCAACCCTCGGGGAAAGATTCTTAAGTTGCCAAACAATTTGCAAAGCCTCGTGTTTTGCAACATAAGAATCTTCCCCCTCAGGTTGAGATTCCCCTATCTCACCCCCAAGGGGGTGATAGATTCTTTTAATCTCAGTCTCGGGCTAAGATTCTGTAACATCCCAACCTCGGCTTACGCCTCAATTGGGATTTTGTTACAGAATCTTAACCCTCGACTAAGATAACCCGATCTCGCTCAGTTACAGGTAAAAGATTTTATTAAAGTATAATAATCATTGGAAGGTACATGTAACTACTCCTATAAAAATACTATAATACTGGTTGTTATAAATTTTGATAAACAATAAAAAATAATATTGGGTGTTATGAATGAAATTTGCATTCTGTCAGGGGTGCAGAGAGCGAAAGTGAGCATAACCCATGGGTATCGAAGATTTGTTGCATGCTAGATTTTGTTTTCCAGACTGCAGTTCCACATTAGATTTTGTAGTAAATCACTGGTGTCTGCCCCTCTTTATCCGGTAACAGGTTGTTTCGCCCTAAATCCTGTTCACGCTAAGGGTTGTTTCGCCCTAAATCGCGTTCGCGATAGATAGGTTGTTTTGCCCTAAAAAAAAATTTTTATAATTTAAACATTAATATAATAATTAATACTTAAATATATCAACTAAACTTATTGATGACTTTCTACATTGGTGTTAGGTATATTTCATGTAGAGTATGTGAGTGCGGAGTCAAGTTTTTGCACAGCTGCCATTTGTCACACTCGCTTAAAAACAAGACAAACACCAAACACTTTTTTTATGAAATTGATTATAATGATATGGAAGACTAAGAAGACTTAATTTGTGACTTAAAACTACTAAACTGAATGAAAACACCAAACAATGTTTCGCCCTACTATTTTTGTTTTAGGGCGAAACAACCTAGGGCGAACAGGATTTAGGGCGAAACAACCCGGAACCCTTTATCCAGTCAAGTTTGGGAGTCTGTTCCTGTTAAAGTGTAGGAAATAGAATTTATATGAATAATTAATTCAAGATGATAAGAAAAATTAATTTACATTGTTAAAAAACCCAGATTTAAAACAATTTATTCAAATGTTTTTGTTTTGTTTTTACAGGATGTGTATACAGACACAGATAATGAGGGTCTAAATGAGTTTTAAGCAAAATGTCTCATGAATGTGCATTCTGTGGCAAGGCATTTGCATTGCAGAAAAAACTGCAGAGACATATTAGAATACACACAGATCGTAAGCCTCACAAATGTGAAGTATGCGGAAAGGGTTTCAGTGAGCCAGGGAAACTACAGGTCCACAACAGGATCCATACAGGAGAGAGGCCTTTTGAGTGCGGCACGTGCGGTAAAGGTTTCTGCGAGGCAGGGAAGCTTAGGAAGCACATCAGGGTACATACAGGCGAAAAGCCATTTCCATGTCATGTCTGCAATAAAAGTTTTGCCGAGACGGGAGCTTTACAGAGACATCTTATGGTACATGTGAAAAACCAAACACATTTCAATTGCGAGGCCTGCGGTGATAAATTCATGGTAAAGGAGGAGCTGGCAAGACATATGAGGATACACATTGTAGAGAAACCACATCAGTGTGACATCTGTGGTATGGCATTTAATCTGACAGAGAGTCTGCAGCAGCATGTCAAGATACATTCTGGTAAAATGCCGTATAGAAATATAAGGTGCGTCGATGACGGAATAAGTGATGACTCCGACAGTCAGGAAGTCGGTAAAACACATATAGCAGAAAAAATGTACAAATGTGATATCTGCGGTAGAGAATTCAGTAAACCAGGTAATCTACAACGACACACAGCAAAACATGAGGATGAGAAAGCATGGCCGCCACATTGTGAGTTATGCGGGAAGACATTTACAGAAGTGGGAAGTCTACGTAGACACTCAATGATACACACTGGAGAGCGGCCATTTGAATGTGAAGTGTGCGGGAAGGGATTTAGTCGTGCTGCACACCGCAGGAAACATCTCGAGGTGCATGCTACAGAAAATTTGCACACTTGTGAGATCTGTGGAAAGTCTTTCACTCAAATTGTTAGACTGCAGGTGCACATGAGAAAACACACTGGTGAAAAGCGTTTTAAATGTTCTGTATGTGAGAAGGGATTTGATGTGGCAGGAAAGCTCCAGAGACACATTTTGATACATACGGGCCTCAAACCTCATAAGTGTGACTTATGTGGGAAAACTTTCAGAGAGAAGGGAACCTTGAACAAACATCTCCGCACACATTTAAAAGATAAAAGGTTTGAATGTGAAGTGTGTCATAAGTTTTTTGGTGAGACCAGGAATTTACACAGACACATGAAAATTCATACTGGAGAAAAACCGTACTCGTGTGAAGTCTGTGGGAAAGATTTTGGTGAATCTGGACATTTAAAAACTCACATGACTATACACTCTGGAGAGAAGCCGTTCATTTGTGATATTTGTGGAAAAGACTTCGGTACAACTGGAAGTCTACAAAGACATTTACGAAGACATTTGGGTGAAAAACCACACAAATGTGACCTCTGTGATAAAGCATTTGTTGAATCATGGACGTTACAAGTTCATCGCCGCATGCATACGGGGGAAAAACCGTTCGAGTGTGAAATTTGTGGCAAAACGTTCAGCCAGACGGGCTCTCTTCAGAAACACAACAGGGTTCATACAGGGGAAAAGCCATATAAATGTGAAATATGTGGAAAGGCATTTAGTGAGTCGGGCAAAGTTAGAAGACATCTTAGAATGCATGAAAGAAATGAGGGCGTAAAATCTGAGCCTTCTGATAGTGATTTACCAGTCAAGGTGATGGTGACAGAGGATAATGTTATGCATATGTTAAATGTATGATTACTATATTAAAGTAAAAAATATATTCATGTTTCAGTTACCATAAAGTTATTGAAAAAATATGGTAGGTCAGTTTGGATATTAATATTTTTTTTTTTTTTTTTTAGGGGGTCGGAAGGGCAGGGCTTTAGCTTATTTAAAACTACAAAAATCACCAAACATTGTTAGGTCTTTTAAACCATGATTTGTTTTGATACCTACCTTTGAAGTAGGGAGGGTATTTTCATGTATAGTTCCTTGCTTAATTTGTTTGTCCAATTTATTTTGCATCCAGTGGACAATCAGGTTATTCCAAAACTAGAATGGATGTGTTTGATTGAAAATCGTCAGGGTCAAAGGTAAAAACCAGGGTAGGTCTGGGTTCCTGAAACAGGCATTTGGTTTTTGCCTTAAGATATTTGAATTAATGATTCTTACTCCCAGCTAGTGAATTTATTAATGATATATAAACAAAGTAAGTGATCGAAGGCTTATAACATACACATGTAGATATAGTCTGGGGCCCCCCTCCTGCTTTGTCAGTGACCTTTAGCCTGTTAACCTTTACATACGACCACCAAAATCTATAGAAATAAACGTCACTAAAATATAAATGTAAAGTAAATTTGTTGAGTGGTTAGTGAGATATTTTGTACACAAACAATATATTTTCTTCAAAGGTGGTGAAGTGTTATCTTTGACCTTGACCTTTGACACTTTAACCTTGACCGATGGCCACCAAAATCTAAACAGGTGTACAGGTAGAACTTGATATAATATAACTTTGTATACTAACATGGTGAACAAGGTTAAATATGAACTAAATGTGTCAGGGGTTTATAAGAGATCTTGTAGTTGTACACAATCTTTTTACTGCGGATGGATAGACACACTGATTACCCTATATCCAACCTTCACTAGCTAGGTAGGGGGTATTATAACAGTAATACTGTGCATCTTGAAAAATATAAGAAATTTACATCAGTAGTTAATTTTATGAAACTATAATTTCTCTTACCCTGGACAGGTGTATCCACACTTTTACCGCTGTGAGATATCCTTGTCTTACCCAAGGGTTGAGACAGGGGGATTCCCCTATTCATAACGATGGTATGATGTCACATCAACAATCCATCAATGTCACATCAACCCTGAATTTATATAATTAGCCTGTAACGTTAACATATAATTATGTTTATTATACACAAATGGGAGAACAGGGTAAGAGAAAAATAATCATTCACCGCCTTTGGGGTGAAATAGGGGAATCTCCTGAGGGACACACACTCGGCAAAGCCTCATCAGGGTGAGAGATTGTAAATTTGTACATGTGTGTGTTAATTAGGGTCGTACAATTCCATGATGGAGCAAGTCAATATATTATTATAAGATTATAAGTTTTGCTAGAAATTCATACATATTTCTATGTAATTTTACAAAAGTTGGCCAGTTAAAAATATCACTTGGTCTGTTCAAGTGGAAGTTACTGAAAAGCCTGTGTTGTGAAGCAATGACTAATTAAACGTTATACATGTACATACATATTATTGTTTCATTGGTTGCGATGTCTTTTAATTGACCATCATTTGTCCACATCTGTTTTATTTGGATTTCCAAATATTGCACCATTGTAATTTAATTTGTTCATAGTAACATTTTTTACAGGTAGCAAACATAAATATACATTGTATAGCACTCTCTTTTTCGCTTACCCTGGACAGTTGCATCCACACTTTTCCTGGTGTGAGATATCCTATACCTTGTCTCGCCCTTGGGTTGAGCGGGGGGCCAGGGTATACCTTGTCTCATCCTAGGGTTGAGAAGGGGGGATTCCCTCATTCATAACAATTGTATGACGTCACATCATGATCAACAGTCCATTAACATGACGTCACATCATGATCAGCAGTCCATTAATATGACGTCACATCATGATCAACAGTCCATTAACATGACGTCACATCATGATCAAAAGTCCGTTAGCATGACGTCAAAATTGCATTGAGGCAGTAACGTTATAACATTGCATTATGTACATGAAAGGGCAAACAAGGTTATTAAAAAGAAAAATAATTGTTCACCCCCATGAGGTAAGATGGGGAATCTGAACCCTCCAGTTAAGATTCCTGTATGTCTCACCCCAAAGGGAATAAACGATTATATTAATCTAGAAGGACATTATCAAATGCCAATTCATGTATTTGTTGATGCCATTGATATAGAGGCACCAATGTGTTTTCATAAATATTCATCTTTGGTGAATTTATCTATCTACTTGTAGTTCTGCACCATGACTTACCAAATAAGAAAACTTGTACAGTGCTAATGAAGGAGAAATCGGAGTAATGTATTGATAGCTATACAAGTGTTACAAATTGTGTTACAGGTGTTACAAGTTGTGTTACAAGTGTTACAAGTTGCGTTACAGGTGTTACAAGTTGTATTACAAGTTGTGTTACAAGTGCTACAAGTTGTGTTACAAGTGTTTCAAGTTGTGTCACAAGTTGTGTTACAAGTGTTATAAGTTGTGTTACAAGTGGTACAAGTTGTGTTACAAGTTGTACAAGTTGTGTTACAAGTTGTGGTACAAGTGTTACAAGTTGTGTCACAAGTTGTGTTACAAGTGTTTCAAGTTGTGTCACAAGTTGTGTTACAAGTGTTTCAAGTTGTGTCACAAGTTGTGTTACAAGTGTTGCAAGTTGTGTTACAGGTGTTACCAGTTGTGTTACAAGTGTTACAGGTTGTGTTACAGGTGTTACAAGTTGTATTACAAGTTGTGTTACAAGTGGTATAAGTTGTGTTACAAGTTGTGTGACAAGTGTTACAAGTTGTGTTTCAAGTTGTGTTACAAGTGTTATAAGTGTTACAAGTGTTACAAGTGTTAGAAGTGTTACAAGTTGTGTTACTACTGTTACAAGTTGTGTTTCAAGTTGTGTTACAAGTGTTATAAGTGTTACAAGTGTTACAAGTCGTGTTACAGGTGTTACAAGTGTTAAAAGTTGTGTTCCAAGTGTTACAAGTTGTGTTACTAGTGTTACAAGTTGTGTTACAGGGGTTACAAGTTGTGTTGCAAGTTGTGTTACAAGTGTTACGAGTTGTGTTACAAGTGTTACAGGTTGTGTTACAGGTGTTACAAGTAGTGTTACAAGTGTTACAAGTCGTGTTACAGGTGTTACAAGTGGTACAAGTTGTGTTACAATTTGAGTTACATGTGTTACAAGTTGTCTTACAAGTGTTACAAGTTGTGCTACATGTGTTACAAGTTGTGTTACAAGGTGTGTTACAAGTGTTACAAGTGTTAGAAGTGTTACAAGTTGTGTTACGGGTGTTACAAGTTGTGTTACAGGGGTTACAAGTTGTGTTGCAAGTGTTACAAGTTGTGTTACGGGTGTTACAAGTTGTGTTACAGGTTGTGTTACAAGTGTTACAAGGTGTGTTACAAGTTGTGGTACAATTGTTACAAGTTGTGTTACAGGGCTTAGAAGTTGTGTTACAAGTGTTACAGGTTGTGTTACAGGTGTTACAGGTGTTGCAAGTTGTTTTAGAAGAGTTACAAGTGTTACAAGTGTTAGAAGTGTTACAAGTTGTGTTACGGGTGTTACAAGTTGTGTTACAGGTATTACAAGTTGTGTTACAAGTTTTACAAGTTGTGTTACAAGTGTTACAAGTTGTGTTACAAGTGTTACAAGTTGTGTTACAATTTGTGTTACATGTGTTACAAGTTGTGTTACAAGTGTTACAAGTTGTGTTACAAGTGTTACAAGTTAAGTTACAAGTTGTGTTACAAGTTGTGTTACAAGTTGTGTTACAAGTGTTACAAGTTGTGTTACAAGAGTCTAGTGTATGAAGTGCATGTGCTTAATATTCATTTGAGAAACTGATCTTTCATATATTTTGTACCTTTTGTTAATGGATCCCTGTACAATGTACAGTACCACTGACAAACAAGTCTACTGTGTATTGGAAACATTTCACTGGCATGACAAAAGCTTAATAAATCTTTTTTTTAAATCGTTATAGGTTTCTTTTAAAAAAAAAGATTTATTAAGCTATTGTCATGCCAGTGAAATGTTTCCAACACACAGGAGACTTGTTGTCAATTTTTTTGTTCATTTCAGACATGTATATAAATATACATGTCTGAAATGAACAAAAAAATTGACAACATTAATATCATTTTGAGAGTAAAAATGCAATGGAGCTAGACCGTTATTCAAATATACTGGACCACTGGTCACAACACAGTTGCTCTAATTATAACCAACTGATCAGCTACATCAATACATGTACCTCAGTCAGCAGTTCCCTGGCCGAATAACACTAGATTTATATGATCCAAATAGAAGTTAAAGGGAGGCAATTGCTGTTGTGAAAACAGCAGAGTTCTCTTATATTTTGCCTGCAGTTGGACAGGAATCCACAAGTTGATACAATGTATCTTAATAATTATAAACTTATCTTGCTCAAGGGGAATTCGAATGACACAGGGATGATTTTTTTGTTATCCTGGAGGGAGAATATAAAGTGACTGATACATAACACACATTTAAATATATATATATACAGTCATATATGGTCCACTACATTTACAATAGTGAATTTGAAAAAAATATGCTTTGACAGTATTAATACATGTAGTATTACACCATTAATATCAGCATTATATTGTGAAACGTACAGATTTGCATAGAAAATATCTTTTATTTCTGTGATTCATTTCTACTTATAATTCAGCTGAACAGTATTTTGATTGCCATATATAGGTTATAATACTAAACAACAAAAAGCATATATATCCATTAATAGTTAAATAGTGAATACCGGTAATAATTGTTTTCGCTTTTGGTGAATAACAAACTGTCTACATTCAACTAATTCTAAAATCATTACATATGTTCCTCTTTGAAATTTAAATACTGACAATAATATATGTATGCTGTGACCATGCATCTATCATCAATTAAGAGGAAATTTAGATTCTATACATCTGTTTCTAGTAAACAAAACAAAACAGGAATTGAAACGTGAGCTGAATAATGACACATCTTTAGTAAAGAAAAGAATTATCAATATGTTAAATGCAGGTATACCGTTTTACATTGAAGGTCACCTGACAGAAAGGCTTAATGAGCTTATGCAAAAAAAATCTAACTATGTCAAAATTGATTATCACATTTACTAGTTATTTTTAGTCCACCAACATCAGATGAGTGGCTGTTCAAATCGTTCATTGTTTGTGGTCCATGTCTGTTATTTTGTCCTGAAGAGATCTTTCTCAAATTTTGAATGTACATTCCTCTTGTTCGATTGTTGTCAATATAGAATTCTGGGACCTGTTGAAAATCCAAAATGGCTGACAAGTATAGCCATTTTTGTGTCGCCTGCGAAAAGCTGGTGACACATATATATATACAATGTAGGTATTGCTATGTCGGCGTCGGCGGCGTCGTCCGCACAAAGGTTTTCGTGCAATAACTTGAGTATCTTTGGGCCGATCAAACTCAAACTTCATGCGGTGCCTCCTTACCAAAAGTGCTTGCTTGGGATTGCTTTTCAGGTCCAAAGGTCAAGGTCACTGTTACAATAAATAGAAAATATGTTTTCGTGCAATAACTTCAGTTTCCTTGGGCCGATCAAACTCAAACTTCATGCAGTGCTAAGCACAATCTCCCAGCTTCCTGCGCAGGCGACACACTCACTTACGTGGAATTCTTGTGAATTTTGAGAGTTAATGTTTGCTAACAGTATTTCTTGGAAGGAACTTTATACATGAAGGTTTCCATTACATGTATCCCTAGTTACATGTACGAAGCATATTGAATTTTTGGACTTATTGGAATACCAAATTAATATACAGATGGCCATCTTAAATTTTGACTTAAATATGGTTAGCACAATCTCTCAGAAAGTACTAGAGGGATATTTCTCAAATTTCAAGTTTAGATTCCCCATGGTCTTTTATTGTACACATTTAATTTTGGTTTAAATGAAAAGGCAAGGTGGCCGAC